CCAGTTCAGGTCCCCTCCTCCTCCACTTCTTACAGGTAGGCCTTCCCAGGCGCTCACTGTGCTCTGCAAAAGAAAATTATGTTATGATCCTGGCCAATTTCGAAGTACAAATTCATGAGAAAGCACAATGTCGTCCAATTGCAAAAGAAATGAATGAACTTGAGAGGAGAGAGAGGGAAAGAAGAAGAAGAAAAGAAAGAAAGACGAAGAAGATGTAAACCAGCGAAGACCAATGATAGATCCCTTCTTCTCGCCAACCACTCTCCTCCTCCTTTTCTCTTCCCCTCTTTACTTCACAATAAATAATAATAATAATAATAATATTGAATGGCTGAACCAGAATCAATGTCGGAATCCCTCTTCTACTGCATGGCATAACATGAGGTCCACCATAGCCAGGGCCGCCTCCTCCTTCCTCTTCGTGAAGGCCGAGGCTATGGTGGACTACTAGGGCTTTGCCCTGCTGTGCAAAAGACAACTCAAAGCAGCTATGGCTGCTCCTGCTCAGGCTGCCATGCCTGACTCTGCCTCGAAGCTTCTTGATGTAGCTCTACCCGAATGGGGCCTTTGAAATGCAGCGCCCACCAAGGCGATGAAGATGGCATCCACCATAGCCAGGTAAGTACCTCTGGCGCTCCCCCTTCCTAGTCCTCAACTTCCTCCTCCTCCTACCCGAGCTCCTCCACCATAGCCAAGGTGAGGAGCTGGGCGTTCTAACACCCAGCAGCGCTGCTCCACCAGCGCTCCAGCGGTGTGTCACAAAACTTGCACCCGCAGAATGAGGAGGAGCACTTTGCTCCTCCTGGAGATATAGCAACCTGCTTGCCTCTTGGGCGGTGACTTCCAGGCCGCGTGGCCTCCAAGCAACCGATACCTCCTCCCTTTCGGAGGGAAGATCATTGCAGACTCTGATATACAGGCCCTAGACTCAGACTACTTGGACTGGTACCTGCCTAGACCTAGCCTACAACTTCTGGGCCTCTAGAAATGCCGACTATGTCTTCTTCTGCTCGGCCTCGAGTACCCGACACATCTACTGCTACTTGGTGTGGTACCGGCCTACCTGCCATTTTTGTGTTTTTCTGCTGCTCCAAGTGTCGTGGGCCTCATTCCCGCCACTTGAGTGTTTTCCCCGCTGCAACCCTCAATGTCACGGCCACAGGTAAGTACCTGGCCTCCCGAACGCACAAGTACGCTTGCGGGTATCGACAAGCACTCAGACAGGCATGCAGACCAGCAAGCACGCACACACACAGATTTAGAAAACTCAGCAACAAGCGGGAAACTCAGCAAGGCATACATTCCATTGG